AGGAAAATCACTTTGAGAGCTGTGTGGAGATGGATTGCGTTAGGGAAGAGACTTGAGGTGTGGAGACTAATTAGGAGGAGATTGCAATTAGTAGAGATCAGTAGGAAAGAATGCTCTTACAGATTCCAGCTACAGAAATCAGAATAGGCTGCAGCTCATAGAAAGAAGATTATGGGTTACAAGATCCTTAGAATAACCAGAAATGGGAATAGAAACTGTTGCACGTCATTACTCTAAATTTCCTCAAAGGATCTTCTCAGGTGATAGAGGGAAGTCCTGTGAACGGCAGTTTGTTATTTCCTGTTCTTAGCTTGAGACCCAAGGATCAGAAAAGAGCAACCACAGGTCTAGAAGCTAGTGGCCATGCCAGACTTTATGGACAAATAAGAGACCTGCGTGACTCAGCATAGAGTGGATTGAGGGCAGCCAAGAGGGTACTACTTCCAGAAGTGAACTTGGTGTAGCAAATACTTTGTAGCAGCTGAGTTATGTTTGAGCCCACTCTCTCCAGGGACTGATGCGGTACAGGCTAGAGTGTGCTAGGAGATTTCAGGGGAACAGTTTATGTTTCTGTTCTTGCAGTATCTTTTCAGTAAATATTTGTCTGTTAAATCTAATTGATGCAAATTGGTTAAATGAAACTACAGCTCTTCATCACTGGAAGGTATAGTTGATGTAAGGGAGATGCTAACTACAACTGTTGATGGATATTGTGGAGAACACTGGAATGGGGGTTGGGGGTGAGAGCATTAGAGAAGATACCTACGAATGAGGTACCTTAGAACCCAGAGTGGAGAGATACCCTTTGTTCAGGGATCCAGTTCATCTCTGAGAAGGGAGTGTGAGCATAAAGATCTTCAAAGCTTGTAAAGACTGCAACAACAATAATAATAATAATTGCAGAAAGTTAATTAGAGAAACTTGATCAGCTTGATGGAGTTTCATGGAAATGAGCTTTAATTGGAGACTTTTATTACATTTACTTACTAAGGTTAAGGCACCTCCTTGGGAGGGTTCAGGACATCTGAGTCAGTTACCAGTCACCCCATTCACACCTCATTCAGCACAAGCAGTTAAATCTCACATTGCTGTTGCTTCTGCTACTACTGTTTGTCCTTTGTTCTGGAAAAGGACCTTGACATTAGAGAGGTCATGCTATGATATGCAAGTGAATTGGATTTAAGTGAGGGAGGGCTGTGCAAAGTCACCAGTCTCACTTTCTCCTCTGGAACCATCTGGGTCTAGTGGCCAGATAGGGATCAGCACAACTGGAGATGGCCCAGGATGCAGTGGCAGACCTTGGCCTTTTCAAGCTAAGGTCTTTTTTCTTTTCTAATGTCAGAATAACCTTACACAACTGTGAAGATGAGAGTGCATTCAGAGACAGGTGGCCCAGAACCTGGGCCCTGGGAGAGAAAGGACATAACACTGTTATAAAAACCATGTTATATAGCAGGAGTCAATATGGAATTGAAAAGAGAAGCCCACTTGTGAGACAAGGAAACAGAGTTTCTTTAGACCACTATAGCCCTCCTGAGTGTCAAGCACGGGGCTGTTAGAACCGCAGGATAAGAGAAGACTTTAGAAACTGAGCTGTGTTCCAAGATGTAACACAGAGCTCTTGGAGAATGAGATCTGGTCCCCAGAGGATGGAATCTATCTACTGGAATCTGAGAAGAAGCATAGGGCTGCCAGGAAGTTAAGAGGTATGAGTTGAGCTGCATTGTTGAGGTTTAGCTATTACGGGTGCTTGAACTCTGAGTCCTGCCCAGATGAATTTGACCCAAGCCTTCTTTCAGCCAAAGACAAGGTTTATTAAAGATTTGCCATATTGGCCAGCCTCTTAAGGAATCTGAACATTTGAGACGCTCATATTGACAACTGGGTTAGTTTAAATCTGAGCCATTGGCCAGATCAAATTCGAGCACCTTAATGGTGACAAAATGGATCTTATATACGGAAAGACTGTGGGAAGGATCTAGGAGTGGCCAAGTAGTTTGAGGTGACTGGAGGAGGGGTCTGGAAGAAGGGGTCTAGGGAGGAAGAAGGGGGCTAGGTCAAGGGTAACAGAGAATTGGGGAAATTGGGGTTAGGTAATAATGAAAGGCCAGTTGAGGGGATTATAGCCTCAGGTGAATGCTAGAGACTTACCTGATCAAATGGGAAAATTCAAGGAGAGTTCAAGGTGGAGGTTTCCAGAACCTGTACCCCGTCATTCCCCCTCAAACAAATGGAACCCAAATTCTTTTGGGGTAAAGGGCAAAGGTCTTGGCTTGGGCCTGTGCCTCATCAGCATGACACAAGGGATACATAATGTTGTTCAGTCATTTCCAGCTCTTCATGACCCCATTTGGAGTTTTCTTGGCAGAGACACTGGAAAGGTTTGCCACTAGTTTGGGATTATCATTAGGGCAACATTTTGATGCTGTGGGGAATTGTTCCCCTCCATTGTCCTACCCAGTTCCCCCCCAAGATAAGGGCTACCTCTTTGTAATTTAGATTTCTTTCCCCATCTCAAGACAAATATATTTTGAAGGCTGCTGAACAAGCAGCAGTCATCTTCCTAGTGTCCCAGCACTGCTTGACTTACTCTCTGTAGCAATGAGAGTGGCAAGGGACTTGAGCTTTGTTTTCCAAGATGTGGATTTAGTCCTTCAGCTGCAGGGGCCACATGGATGATCCTCCCCTTTCACCAGTACCACATGCTGTTCAGAAACTACATGAGCAAGTCCAATTTTTTTTTCTCTAGAAAGTCTAGTGCCCAACTTCTTGAACTTGTGAACATGATCTGAACTTGGGTCATCCACGAGGCAATCACTAAGTCTAGCACTGCCTGGGAAATGACTTTTCTCTGGCTAGAAGGCTAGATTTGAGAGCCATCCTGACCAGGAGACTGAAATCCTCCCTCCTCAGTAGTGGAAGGTGGGGTTCAGGAACACGGTCTATGATCTCCTCAGCAGACCAAGTGAGCACACATATATCTTTCTGCCATGTACCTCTCTCATTTTGTTTTTGGTACATGTACTATGAAGGGTATAATCACAAATATGCAAGTTTACACCCCCAAACACAGAGACATGAGCCTCCTTTCCCCCTGTACCACTTCAGTCTATGGAGAAGGGAAGGGGATTAGGTTCATAGCTTAGCTTGGTTCTTATAGAGCACACAGTCCTTAATTCTAAATCCCAAATCAGACCAAGGCTTTGAGTCCCAGGATGCCCTCACTGCTTCTCAGGGCTTCCCTGCCCTCCTGTCTGGCTGCAACATTCCAACAGTGATCCTGGCTCCAAGGTCCCCCCACCCCCGCCCATGGCTCCAACTCCCAGGTAAGGTGGTGATTGCCACTAGCACCTGAAATGGAGGACAAATAACATAGAGCAGAGACCTCTCCCCCCAGCCCATTTCTCAGAGCTGAGGTAAAAGATAAGGGAGAGGGTAGGGAGGGTATCTTCTTCCACTCCTGGTTCAGTTCATGGCATCTGTGCTGTGGGTGAATGTGATCTTTGCCCTTTGGAAGCAGCAAGGAAGAGTTAGCATGAAAAGAGTGCCACGTCCTTCTATAGGTAATCTATCAGTGTCATGATTGCTGCCATGACCTGAGCAGGGAAAAATTCTCTCTTGGATTCTCTCCCCTTGGTCTGAGTGACAAGGTCCTTCTGCAAATCCCATCAGCTTCTACCTCAACCCAGCCACTAGTGGGAAGGGGGGAAGGAGGGGGAAGGACAGGGAGGGGTAGGAAGGGAAGGGAGAGAGCATGGGTACAAAATAGGCTTCCTTCCTCCCTGCTCTAGCTCACTAGTCAGTCTTCCAAAATGGGAAGACTTTAAAGATGGGGAAAGGGAAAAAAGAGGAGAGCATGCTGCCTTGTCCCTCATAGACTGGTAAAAAGAGCATCTCCAAGAGTCCATCCTCCTGAGCCCAAGGCAGCCAATCATCTTGGAGGCAACCCCAGTTTCTGACACCCAATTAGTGGTTCTCTGTGTTATTGCAACCAAGCACCAATGGGCAGGTCCACACTGTATAGGGTTGAAAAGTATGTGCTCAGATTGATCTGAGAGAAACCTCTTTTGAGTTATTTTCTATGGGCTGTGATGGGAGTTCAGTTTATTTTCTTCAAACTATCTTAAAAAATAGAGGCAGCATGATTATAGCAGATAAAGAGTGAATCTCAGTCAGGAAGACCTGGGTTCAAGTCCTACTACATAACCCTAAGCAAATCAATGAACTTCCCAGTGCCCCAGACAACACTAAGACATAACATTAAGTCAAAGACGGTCTAAGCATGGAGGAAGTTGTTGTTCAGTTGACTCTTCGTGACCCCCTTTGGGGTTTTCTTGGCAAAGATACTGGAGAGGTTTGCCATTTCCTTCTCCAACTCATTTTACAGAAGAAGAACTGAGGCAAACAGGGTTAAGTGACTTGCCCAGGGTCACAGAGCTAGTAAATATTTGAGGTCAGATTTGAAGTAGTTAGGGAGTAACAGAGCTATGGTAGGAGGAAGAAAGAGAGGATGCTTAAGATGACTATTGAGAGGCCACTTGAGAGGGAAGTAGACGTAAAGAAAAAGGCTGGATTGGGTCTGTGATTCCAGTGAAAAAGTATTTAGAATTACTGGAGAGTAAGACTACTATTAAACACTATTAGTGATATCACATGTCACTATATGGGGCAGTATTCTACAGGAAATTGAGAAGGATCACTTTTAACTTTTAGGTGGCTAGGGTTGGTGAAGGAGGCAGGATCAGGGAAAATTTCATAGAGAAACTGAGTTATCTAAACTGAACCTTGAAGGAAGAGGATTTCACCAGATAGAGGTGGTGAAGCAGAGTGTTTGAGGCATTGTGGGGGTGGCCTATGCATATTGACTTGAGGCAAGAGGTGGCAAAATGAGATTGGGACATGAGGAAGAGAATAGTCCCTTGAAATACAGAATATACAAATGTGAAATAGGGTTGGGAAGGTAGATTGGAGCTAGACTGTGAAGTGCCTTAAATGGCAGGCTAAGGAGTTAGTATTTCTCCCATAGTAAATTGGAGTCATTGGCACCTTGGAGAAGGGGAGTGATGTGGTCTGGTCACAGCCAGAGGGACTACTTCCACCACCTACACAGCAGGTCTCTGGGACACATTCAAGGAAATTTTACCTCATCTTCTATATAGGGTTAAAGCAAAATCCTACCTACTTTTTCTTCCTGAGCCAATTGCAGAGACACTTTAACCCCAGGTCTTCCCCTGCTACCAGAAGAGGATGTGATCAGTTCCGTCATTGGTAGGCAGAGCATCAGATAATCTGTCTGTGGAAAGACAGACAGACAGAGCAAGCACCAGAAGCCCATCACCATGTCCAGCTTCACCCTCCCATTTGGCTTTACTCTGCTTTATTTGCTGCTGACTAGGCTCCTAGTCATCTCTGGTGAGTGGGGATCCCAGGGATACAACAGAGTTCCTTTAGTCCAGCCTGGTCCTACATAAGATTAGAACAGGATGTTATGGTCAGGACTCCAGTAGCCCCTAGTACATTTGGGTAGATGCTTCTGGGATGAGATCTGGGCATCTGGGAATATTCTCAAACCTGGCGTTCAGGGTCACACAAATTCCCATGAGGTTGGCACACCTAGCTCACACATCTCTCGTATGCTAGAGTTTATAAAATATTTTCCTCTCAGTTAGGTAAATTGTGAAAATTTGATTATCTCTATTTTCATATGAAGAAATTGAGGCTCAGAAAGATTGTTTATGATCATATAGATGGCAAGTGTCCTAGCTGTTACTCAAACCTCAGTCTTCTGGAATCTAAATCCAAGATTCTTTCTGATCTGATGGGAAGCCCCCATTGTCAGTTGTCTGTGGCTTTCCCTATGGTCTGCCAACTTCCAAATATTCTACGTCAACCAGCATCCAGAAAGACAGTGTGAAGTGGGAAGAGCCTTGAACAGAAAGTCAGATTCCTGATTGTAGTCCCAAGCTTTGCTACTAGTTCAGTGTATTAACTTGGGTGATTCCTTAGCTTTACCTCTCTGGGTCTGTTTCCTTATCTGTAAAATAAGAGAAATTAGATAATAATAAAATAATAGAAAATATTTCTAGTGTATTTTACCTCTTCCATTGTGTTTCAAGCATATTAATAGCCCTGTGAAATAGGTAATTCAAGTATTATCACTCCCATTTTATAGCTAAGGGAAACTGAGCCTTAAGGAAATGTGACTTGCCCAAGGTTATGTAACTACTGGATGGAAGAAACAGGATTTGAACTGGCATTCTTTGACTTAAATGGTTTTCAAGTCCTTTAGAACTCAATTCACTGAACATTTATTAAGGGACTATTATGTGTAAGATCTGTGCTTAGAATTGAGGATACAGATGTATTATGAGTACATGGTGTGTCCCTATCCCCTCTCATCTCTCTCTGGGTTGGCTCATTCACCATACCTGCACCTATAATTACATGTTGGTATTCCACAAGGGCAGCTGTGGGTTCCTACTTTTACTCTCAGCTTTCTAGCCCTATGGATGACTGTTATCCTACTTCTGTAGCTCTAGAGCCCCCACTAGTATATTCCCACTAACAAATAAGCTAACTGACTCAGCTCTTAACAAAAACATTTACTTAAAAAATAAATAAAAACAACAATAATAATTACATGACATTCCAGCCATAAACCTGTGTCATACTCTTCCAGCAATATACACAGTGTCCATTGGGAAGAATGACGATAAACTTAAAGATTTGGTACGGAGGCTCATATGTAGGGAATACCCGTGACCCAAGCAACTCACAACTCTTGGGAACTGTCCTCACACCATTCAATGGTGAATGTGATATTCATGTTGGATTGGTGACTCCATTACTAAGGGGGGGTGCTCTGCTAGTATGCTGTGTTCTACTGTTGTTCTGCTGCTGTACCAACCCGCTCCTCTATTGGAATGGGCTTATTCCAAACTGGCTGCTCTGCTTCTCTGGTGGACTGGGAAATAATATATTGTGTCCTTCTTTGCCCTGGATAAGTGCCTTGTCTCTGTGGGATGCTTTCTTACTGTTTTTCATATACAATTCTCACATTTATATTTGTTTTTGCCCTTTCAATCAGCAAAAATCTGAAAAATCTTTACACAGAGATGAAAAGTAATATGGTCTATATCCTCAGGGATATAACAGTAAACTAGGGGAGAGAGGGCATGGACAAAAATTAGTATTAATAAAAAAAATAGTTTATTTAGGGCAAAAGTGAGATCCAGAAACTGCTCTAGGAAACTTAAAGAAAGGTTCTCAAGTTTCCTGGGCAGGTTACTCTACCTTGCTGAGCTCCAATTTCCTTAGATGTAAAAAGTTAGGCTAGACCATTTCTATGCCCGCTTCCAGCTCAAAATCCTATGACAGAAACATAAACTGAGAAAGCACTGGGTGCCTATCACCTTGCTCCCCCATTTCCTCAGCTCTTTCTTGGGTGTCCATGCTTCCTACTCTGCTCCTGGCAATTTCCAGTGGGGTCACATAGCTCCATACCTTTGACCATGCTGAGGTTGTGTAGGGTGGGCTTCAGAGCCTCCTAGCTTGAGGACCCCCATTTACTCTCAGGGAGGTGACACAGTGGGTAGAGCACTGGATCTAAAGTTGAGAGAATCTGAGTTCAAATCACTCCCTAAGTGAGACACTCACTAGCTGTGTTGCCCTGGGCAAGTCACTTAAGTTCTGTTTGCCTCAGTTTTCTTATCTTTAAAATTGGGGTAATAATAGCACCTACCACCTAGAGTTGTTGAGAGATCATAAATAAAATAAATAAAAATGAAATAATATTTGTAAAGTGCTTTGTGAATTTTAAAGCATTATATAAATGTGATTATTATCATTGTTTTTGTTACCATTATCATTGTTATCAATGTTTGATGATAATTATTGATGATGATGATGTGATGGAACACTCCTGGCACATAGAGATGGCACAGAGGAGGTGACCCTGAGCAAGACTGGACCTCATCATGAAAAGACTGGCTGAGACCTAGACTGTTTATTGCTTATTTTAGCTTATTATCAGAGTAACCCAAGAAGATACTTTTTCCAACATGATTAAAAAAAATCATTGTGTGGCCAGTTAGAAAAGATAAAATCTTCTCTCCCGGTTTAGTACTAATGATAATAGCCAAAGCTTGCCAGTTTCTTTAGATGCATTATTTCATTTGCTCCTCAAAATAACTCTGAGAGGGAATTACTTCTGGATTCGTTATATCCCCATATTACAAATGAGGAAACTGTAATGTTAAGTGACTCACCCATAGTCACATTTAGTTAACTGTGAAAGGCATAATTCAAACCCAGGTCTCACTTGCCTCGAAATCTAGCAATCTATGCACCAAGCAGTGAATGTGTTCGTTTGGTGCCCTCTCAGTTCTAGAGGAACTCAGCCTGGATCCAGGTTTCGAGGGTAGGAAGTTTGAAGATCATTGACTGTAATCTAGAGCCAGAGCCCTAGGGTCCAGACCTACATGGGGCATCTTGGTAAAATCTTGTGCTTATAGTCAGGAATCTAGGGTTAGTGAGTCAGTCAATAAGCATTTATCATGTAACAGACACTATGCTAAGTTCTGGGAATACAGTGAAAGGCAAAAATGGGATTTCTGTCCATGAGGAGTTCACTTATTAATAGAGATGAAAGCATGCAAGAAAGTATGCATACAATATTATCTATCTATCTGTCTATCTATCTTATCTATCTATCTGTCTGTCTGTCTGTCTGTCTGTCTGTCTGTCTGTCTCTCTGTCTCTCTGTGTGTCTGTCTGTCTAACTGGGCAGCTAGGTGGCACCATAGATAGAGCACTGGGCTTGGAATCAGGAAGATTTATCTTTCTGAATTCAAATCTGGCCTCAGATACTTACTAGCCATGTGACCCTGAGCCAGTCACTTAACCCTATGTACCTCAGTTTCCTCATCTGTAAAATGATCTGGAGAAGAAAATAACATACCATTCCAGTATCTTTGCCAAGTAACCATCAAATGGGGTCACAAAGAGTTGGACACAACTGGAATGACCAAACAACAAATCTATCCATCTATATCCCTCCAAAGGGAAAGCACTACAGGGGGATGAGGAGTGGACTAAGGAAGGCCCTTGGCAGAAGATGAGAACTGCTATATTTTTGCACATGTAGGTCCTTTTCCCTTTTTTATGATCTCTTTGGGATACAGATCCGGTAGTGGTATTGCTGGATCAAAGGGTAAGCACAATTTAGTTGCCCTTTGGGCATAGTTCCAAATTGCTCTCCAGAATGGTTGGATCAGTTCACAACTTCACCAACGTGCATCAGTGTCCTAGTTTTTCCACATCCCCTGCAACATTTATCATTTTCCCTTTTTATCATATTAGTTAATCTGATGAGTGTGAGGTGATACCTCAGAGTTGTTTTAATTTGCATTTTCCTAATCAATAGTGATTTAGAGCATTTTTTCATATGACTATAGCTAGCTTTGATTTCTTTGTCTGAAAACTGCCTATTTATATCCTTTGAACATTGTTCAATTGAGGGATGACTTACATTCTTATGACTTTGACTCAGTTCTCTATATATTTGAGAAGCGAGGCCTTTATCAGAGATATTTGCTGTAAAATTTCCCCACAGGTTTTTGCTTTTCTTCTGATTTTGGTTACATTGGTTTTGTTTGTACAAAACCTTTTAAATTTAACATAATCAAAATTATCCATTTTGTATTTTTTAATGCTCTCTATATCTTTTTTGGTCCTAAATTCTTCCCTTATCCATAGATCTGACAGGTAAACTATTCCATGTCCTAATTTGCTGATGGTATCACCCTTCATATCTTAATCATGTACCCATTTTGACCTTATCTTGGCATAAGGTGTTTCTGCCACACTGTTTTCCAGTTTTCCTGGCAGTTTTTGTCAAATAATAAGTTTTTGTGCTAAAAGCTTGGCTCGCTGGGTTTATCAAACACTAAATTACTATGGTCATTTAGTATAATATATTGTATACCTAATGTATTCGTCTGGTTTAACACTCTATTTCTTAGGTGTTACCAGATTATTTTGATGATTACCACTTTTTTTTTTTTGCTTTTTGGTGAGGCAATGGGGGTTAAGTGACTTGCCCAGGGTCACATAGCCCAGGGTCACATAGCTAGTTGATTACCACTTTATAATACAGTTTGAGGTCTGGTACAGCTAGGTCACCTTCCTTCACATCTTTTTTCAGTGATTCCCTTGATTTTCTTGACCTTTTGTTTTTCCAAATGAATTTTATTATGTTTTCCAGCTCTATGAAATAACGTTTTGGTAGTGTGATTGGTATGGCACCAAATAAGTAGTTTAATTTAGGTGGAATTGTCATTTGATTATATTGTCTTGGTCTACCCATGAGCAATTAATAGTTTTCTTCCAATTGCTTGGATCGGATTTTATTT